TGCTGGCCAGGATGGTCTCGATCTCCTGACCTCGTGATCTGCCCACCTCGGCCTCCCAAAGTGCTGGGATTACAGGCGTGAGCCACCGCGCCCGGCCTCTCAGTGCGTTTTGACTCTGTGCACAGTGGTGCAGAGGGAAGTAGAGCTATGGCTTGATTAAAATTCATTTGCGTCGCATAAATAATCAGATTTGTGATTCTCATACCCCACATGGAAAATTCCCAGTCGGGCAGTCTCTGTCAGTACAGGTGACTGTTACATCCGCACATCACTCGAGCTGGGTGAACGGTTTTGGGAAATTGTTGTTCCTTCTTTGGAAAGACCCACGCACTGCCTGGCAGCAGGGGTTGGAGGGTGCTCGGGGAGTTGGGGCAGACAGTCCATCCTCAAAGCCTCACTTTCTTTTGTTGCAAACGAGTAGTAACCCAACAACTCAAGGATTCCTTGTGAGGACAGGGCCTTGTACTGGGTAAAGCCCTGTGCATGTAAGTCATCAGCATTGTTACGGTTTCATAAAACTCTTTTTACTAATAGTGAAACCTCGTTGCCGATTCCGCCCATTTTGTGTGGGCCAGGATAGAGTGGTGATGTTATGTCCTGGTAATAGGCTTTGGAGCGTTATTTCCTACTGAAAAACAAAAACCAAAACAAATTCAGCTCCACCTCTGCCGTGCTGCAGAAATGTCAGTCACAAATGTAGGGTTCTAGATAAATGAAGCATTATTTGGGGGATATATGCATACAAAAATGGAGTATATTACCTTAATAAACTCATGAAGTTAAAAATAAGCCAGCCCTTGCAAAACTGTGCCCAGGGCTTCGGTGTCCTCATTGTCACATATGTGTGCAGCAGTCAGCACGAGTTACAGCTCTCACTCAGAGACTGAACGTTGCCAAGTTAGATGGCCTCTTTGTAAGACACTCCCCAGCGTTAGAGTGAATTTATATTGTATCTTACCAAGAATTATGCAAATAGAATTTCTAAAATAAGGTTATGAAGTCTGATGCTTAGCTATTTTTGAAATAATGGTTTTGTAAAAGTCTCTGATAGTTTTTTTTTCACTCTAATAACCTGAAAATGTCTAAACTAATGTTTTTCAAATCTCATATGAAAACATTCACTTCTGAATGAATGTGAAAACAGGTTGCTCGTGTGAAAGCTGTCATGCATCGCGGTCTAAGACATGAATTGTATTCAGGGGTGTTCGTGCAGGATTAGGTGGCCCATGTGAACATAGGCTCATGTGTGCATATATATGAGTATACACGGTGTTGGATAGCTGTATGCATGCCTAGCTAAGTTACTTAATTTGTCCATTTATAGGGACTCTGAATACCACTAAATCAACTGTTATTTAGGTAGTTTCTAAAAAATAGTGCAGTTTATATAAGATACTATTTATATGCTTATAAACTATGCTGTTTATCTCATGGCTGACTGAGTGTTGGAATGAAGCTATGGTATTTTCTTGCAAAGAAGCAGCCCAGCAAGTTGTGGCCTGCCATTCTCTCTGGATGCCCTCACTGTCCCTGCCCTGCCCATGGCCGAGGGGAAGCCTGGGGAAGTAAACCAAGATGCTCACCAGGGACCTCCTCTGCTTCTATATTCCTTTACTCCCAAACGGAGGGGTCTGCAAAGCCCAGCAGCCTTCAGCTCTGTGTGGCTGTAGGGTAGATGGTGTTTATAGGAAGACACTAGGCAAGAAGAACTCAGGCTAAAGAGATGTGACATTGTCTACCTGAGCCATAGATTTTGAAGGAAGTCTGTCCTTGAGGCATTAATGTGCCGGGTGATCATTAAGAAGTGATTCTTTCTGCTGGGCACAGTGGCTCACGCCTGTAATCCCAGCACTTTGGGAGGCCAAGGCGGGGGATCATCTGAGGTCAGGAGTTCAAGACCAGCCTGGCCAACATGGTGAAACCCCATCTCTACTAAAAAAAAAAAAAAAAAAAACCACACACAAAATTAGCCGACCGTGGTGGTGCGTGCCTGTAATCCCAGGTACTCGGGAGGCTGAGGCAGGAGAATCGCTTGAACCCAGGAGGAGGAGGTTGCAGTGAACCGAGATCATGCCATTGTACTCCAGCCTAGGCAATGAGAGTGAAACTCCATCTCAAAAAAAAAAAAAAAAAGAAGAAGAAGAAAAAAGAGAAATGATTCTTTCATCTAGCAGGTGTTATCGCTAAGTGCTCAGGATGGTTTGCTCATTCATTCATTCATTTAACAATATTCATTGAGCACTTCCATGTAGCAGTTCCATGCTGGTGACATGTTATCTGTCCTCATGGAGTTAGTCTTCCAGTTTTACCTACTTAGCAAGAAAGAGGCTTTCTCTAGGCCAAGCCTTACTTTAGTTTAAAAATCAAATAAACATTAACTGCAGGACAATAAGAGACTTCAAATCTGACCAGCCAAGTTCCTTTACTCGCCCTTCTTGCTTCACTTAGAGCTCTGTCATTTAGCATCTGAATATTCTCTGATTTCAGCCCTTTGATTATGAGATTTCCTTGCTTGCCTTTCTCTCATATGTCAGAGCAGATCTGTCTCTCTGTCCTCACTGTCCTTTCTGACAAGTGGACAGAGAAGGTTTTGCACACAAGTGGATGACAGCTTCAAAGAGCAGGAGGTGGGAGGCCCGGGCGAATGGATCACCCGAGGTCGGTGGTGGGCGCCTGTAATCCCAGCTGCCCGGGAGGCTGAGGCAGGAGAATCACTTGAACCCGTGAGATGGAGGTTGTAGTGAGCTAAGGTTGCAGTATTGCACTCTAGCCTGGGCAACAAGAGTGAAACTCCGTCTCAAAAAAAAAAAAAAAAAAAAAAAGAGCAGAAAGTCCTCTGACACCTTCAGGGAGAAAGGGTTGACTGCAGCGAGGTCCGGTCTTGACTCCCTGCCTCTCTGGGGTGGGTCCAGCTGTCAAGTTCCTCTGCTTTTGAGGATAATAATATCATTAAGCAGCAAGCTGGCACAATTTTTGAACAGAGATTTCTCACAGGAACTTTGCAAGCATTTCACATTCCATTTGCTTCAGTAATGTGAAACTTATTTTTCTAAAAAAAGGTACAGGCAGATCTTGGCGTGACTCACTAGAGAACAATAGTTAAGTCATAATTTATTTTCATCTTTTTCCCCAGGAAAGGGAAAAATTGATTAAATGTATGGGGAATGTACCCAGGCGTGAATCTGTAAAGGAGAAATGGATCAAAGAATCACACAAACATGTATATGTGTAAAACACATAGGTTTTGTGAACAAAAGGCATAACCTCTCCCACAGTATGTTGCGGGAGGTCTTGACACATCCTGAAGGGAGAGATTGGTGTTGCTGGGGAAGTGGAATGAAAGCTGAAAGCTGAAGGATGAGTAGGAGTAAGACCAAAGTGGAATGTGAAGGCAGGGAACATCAAGTTCAAGCAGAGGGAACAACATCTGCAAAGGCCACGAGCTGGAAGGAAACGGAGTGCCATTGGTGGAGGGAGAGCAGGGCTGAGGCACGCATTCTGCCGGTGTGCACAGGGCTTGGGTTGGAGTCCAGCCCACCTCCACCTCTTGTTGACGTTTGTATCTATCCACGTTTGTGTTTTCCCCTATTCCTGCCTGCATCTCCAGTCTTCTCCACGAGATTGCATCCCTCTTCTTGTAACAGTTGTTTCAGTGTGAGTTTGCTGGAAACAAATTGTATCAACTTTTCTTTTCTGAAAATGTCTTTATTTCATCCTTTTTCAGCAGCTTTGATGACGTATCCTTTACATATCATAAAGTTCACCCGTTTAAGGTGTTTAATCAAGCCAGGCACAGTGGTTCATGCCTGTAATCCTAGCACTTTGGGAGGCCGAGGCAGGTGGATCACCTGAGGTCAGGAGTTCAAAACCAGCTTGGCCAGCATGGCGAAACTCCATCTCTACTAAAAATGCAAAAATTAGCCAGGCATGGTGGTGAGTGCCTGTAGTCCCAGCTACTCCGGAGGCTAGGGCAGGAGAATTGCTTGAACCCAGGAGGCAGAGGTTGCAGTGAGCCGAGATCGTGCCACTGCACTCCAACCTGGGTGATGGAGTGAGACTCCGTCTCAAAAAAAAAAAGAAAGTGTACAATCAATGGTTTTTTGTTAAAAAGTTGTGCATCAAGGAACACAATCTAATTTTAGAACATTTCCATCTCCCCAGAAAGAAA